AAGGAAACTGCCCTGTCAAATAGGAGATCCATGTTGGCGTTCTCAAATTCAGTTATGCCACCACTTACATGCAGATGTGTTACTAGACTGCTTTATGCCTCAGTTTCTTTTTTGTGCCAAAGGCAGAGGATAATTAATCCCATGCATTCTTCTCCATAACAGAAAACAACTATTTAGAACACTCCATTCAATATGTTTTTAAACATAGAAGGATTGGAATTTTTGCAAAACTTTGGCAAATTCACCTAAGTGCTTTCCTTGAAATCTTATCAGCAGATGAGTCTTAATAAAAGAGAAATAAAAATGACAGCACGGGCAGCATGAAAAGCTCACCCAGCAGAAAGGATTTTCCAGCTTCCATCAGTAGCAGCGCAGAACTGTCCAACGGGTGCTATCTGACATGCCAGATTGTGTTGGAAGCAGTGAGGTCATATGGGCACGTGGCTGAGTCAGTCATTGTTTGGATCCTATGTTCAGTGCCAGCACTGCCAATGCTCCCCTCGCTAAAAGGGAATTACTGTAAAATCAGTCTGCCACTGAAGTTTCCACTAGAAGTTCATCACTCTCTGTTCTTTCTAAGACACAAAGCAGTTCAGCACAGATGGCTGTGTCTCTTCTCTTTACCTTATGAATGGTACTATCCAGAGTTACTGGAACTCTTAGTTCTTAAGGAAAGAGGGAAAGGGTGTTTTTGCTTTTACGTCCTTTGTTAACATCAAGAAACCAAGCCACATATTTTTTAATAATGAGAATCTGGATCAAGTTCAGTGTTTAGTTCAAAAATAAATCCCAATTAAACTTTTAATAGAGTCTTGGCTTTTCCTCTAGCCCCATCCCACCACCATATGTATCCAATAATTCAAGCTCATTCTCACCCAGTAAAAAAAGGCGGTCACTGAAGTGATTGTGACGTTATGCTTTGAAAGTTCGGTTTCTCTTAAGTCGTTGTTTTCAAAGTGTCAATAACAAGCCTTCATATTAATAGATTTTCAGCAGAAGTACCATGAAGCCTGCTATGTTGCACACCTGAGCAACTCATGCAGTTCCCTGTGCCTGTGCCTGCCCAAGTGGCCCCATGCTGCTGCACTGCAGGTTGCCATCCCCAATGATCACTCCATATCCATGTCCACATACATACTAGGTGGCTGTGCTCCAAGATGGAACTCATCTTCCTGAGCCACAGTGACACCAAGTGATCTCATTCACCATTCAGTAGATACTTTCTGGTGCCAGGCCCTATGGTAGATCTTGGGGACACAGCTGTGAACACAAGTGTCACCATCAATGCCTGCTCTCAGGAACTGGCAATATCCCTGCCAACCTTCTCTTACCAGCCTGCATGATACAAACTCCTGCTTAGCTAAAGCTTGGAAAGTCAATGAGTAAAGCAAGAGCAGATAAGCAAAGAAGCCACCTCAGAAACAAACAGAATCAAGTAAGTGTCTCTGCATGACACATTTTCATTTATATAGCATGTTTATATAAATTGCCTCACAAAAAATTATCCCTCTTTTGTAGGTAAGGAAACTGGCACTCGGCATGGAAGTAACTTGCCCAAGGTTACATAAAGAACATTTTCATTTATATAGCATGTTTATATAAATTGCCTCACAAAAAATTATCCCTCTTTTGTTTGTAGGTAAGGAAACTGGCACTCGGCATGGAAGTAACTTGCCCAAGGTTACATAAAGTGTTAGTGACCATCAGAAGTGAGGGCCCAGATTTTCCTGACTCACATAAAACCTCGGCCTCAAAGCAGTAGTAACAACCTGAGTAGTTATTGATCCCGCTCCTAGTCACAGCTTTGTGGGGAGCAAGTCACTTCATATGAAGGACTTCCATTCTTCTCCCACCTATAAACAAGAAATGGAAATTCTGCATCATTCACCTCAGCAGATCCCTGTGCAGATGAATAGTCTAATTATGTTTTGAATCATTAATCATCAAAAAGGCAATATTTCCTGCCTCTGATACATCTTCCTCTTAGGTATCTATGTCCAAGGACATAAGGGGATGAAGACGATTATGATGGTGATGACAAAGACAACAGTAAATAGCATGTATTGAGTGTTTACTATGATTTTAAATGCATTACCTCATTTAACCCTCACAAGAATTCTATTATATTCTCCCATATAATGCAGAAGCAAAAACTGGGTATTAGAAAGGCTGAGGGACTTGACCAAAGACAGAAAGCCAGGAAGGCACAGTGATAAGAGCCTAACCCAGGTCTTCCAACCCCAAAGTCTATGCTTCTAATCATTATATTTATCTTAGAACCTGAGAGATTTCAGCAGTTTGGGTTACGAACCTAACTCAGTGTGCAAAGTGCTAGACCCTCCTGAAAAAGGAATGTAATGTAATCATATTATCAAGTCCTAGAATGGCTTCCAAATGGCAGAACCACAAATTCAAAAATTAGGTTTCTATTTATGTCGGCCATTTGATAGAATGGAATGAGCTCAGCCTGTAAGTTTTATCCAGTGTCACCTAGACTTTGGAAACTTTCACTTATCCACCAGGTACCCAGGTGGATAGATGCTGCACCAGAGAAAGTCATAGACTGGACTAAGAAAAGGAGTTAAAATTGGCCCACAGACCTTGTGTACTCATGGCCACAGGTTTCCCAACCTAAGCTACAAGAGAAGGGAGATTATAAATTGGATAGAAAACACAAAGCAGTGGGCAGGAAAGTCCACCCAGCCCCATGTTGAGAGGGATGTTGTTTCAGATAAGCAAAACAAGAGAGAGCATAACCCAGGTCTTCCAACCCCAAAGTCTATGCTTCTAATCATTATATTTATCTTAGAACCTGAGAGATTTCAGCAGTTTGGGTTACGAACCTAACTCAGTGTGCAAAGTGCTAGACCCTCCTGAAAAAGGAATGTAATGTAATCATATTATCAAGTCCTAGAATGGCTTCCAAATGGCAGAACCACAAATTCAAAAATTAGGTTTCTATTTATGTCGGCCATTTGATAGAATGGAATGAGCTCAGCCTGTAAGTTTTATCCAGTGTCACCTAGACTTTGGAAAGCTTTCACTTATCCACCAGGTACCCAGGTGGATAGATGCTGCACCAGAGAAAGTCATAGACTGGACTAAGAAAAGGAGTTAAAATTGGCCCACAGACCATGTGTACTCATGGCCACAGGTTTCCCAACCTAAGCTACAAGAGAAGGGAGATTATAAATTGTATAGAAAACACAAAGCAGTGGGCAGGAAAGTCCACCCAGCCCCAAGTTGAGAGGGATGTTGTTTCAGATAAGCAAAACAAGAGAGAGCACGAGTTGCAAGGTTCAGATGGGCTCAGAGCATCCCACTCCTCACTGTGAGACCTGATGCAATNACATTTTCATTTATATAGCATGTTTATATAAATTGCCTCACAAAAAATTATCCCTCTTTTGTAGGTAAGGAAACTGGCACTCGGCATGGAAGTAACTTGCCCAAGGTTACATAAAGAGTTAGTGACCATCAGAAGTGAGGGCCCAGATTTTCCTGACTCACATAAAACCTCGGCCTCAAAGCAGTAGTAACAACCTGAGTAGTTATTGATCCCGCTCCTAGTCACAGCTTTGTGGGGAGCAAGTCACTTCATATGAAGGACTTCCATTCTTCTCCCACCTATAAACAAGAAATGGAAATTCTGCATCATTCACCTCAGCAGATCCCTGTGCAGATGAATAGTCTAATTATGTTTTGAATCATTAATCATCAAAAAGGCAATATTTCCTGCCTCTGATACATCTTCCTCTTAGGTATCTATGTCCAAGGACATAAGGGGATGAAGACGATTATGATGGTGATGACAAAGACAACAGTAAATAGCATGTATTGAGTGTTTACTATGATTTTAAATGCATTACCTCATTTAACCCTCACAAGAATTCTATTATATTCTCCCATATAATGCAGAAGCAAAAACTGGGTATTAGAAAGGCTGAGGGACTTGACCAAAGACAGAAAGCCAGGAAGGCACAGTGATAAGAGCCTAACCCAGGTCTTCCAACCCCAAAGTCTATGCTTCTAATCATTATATTTATCTTAGAACCTGAGAGATTTCAGCAGTTTGGGTTACGAACCTAACTCAGTGTGCAAAGTGCTAGACCCTCCTGAAAAAGGAATGTAATGTAATCATATTATCAAGTCCTAGAATGGCTTCCAAATGGCAGAACCACAAATTCAAAAATTAGGTTTCTATTTATGTCGGCCATTTGATAGAATGGAATGAGCTCAGCCTGTAAGTTTTATCCAGTGTCACCTAGACTTTGGAAACTTTCACTTATCCACCAGGTACCCAGGTGGATAGATGCTGCACCAGAGAAAGTCATAGACTGGACTAAGAAAAGGAGTTAAAATTGGCCCACAGACCATGTGTACTCATGGCCACAGGTTTCCCAACCTAAGCTACAAGAGAAGGGAGATTATAAATTGTATAGAAAACACAAAGCAGTGGGCAGGAAAGTCCACCCAGCCCCAAGTTGAGAGGGATGTTGTTTCAGATAAGCAAAACAAGAGAGAGCACGAGTTGCAAGGTTCAGATGGGCTCAGAGCATCCCACTCCTCACTGTGAGACCTGATGCAATTCATTTACATTGTCCAGAGCTACGTTGTTGCTCATCTACAAAACTAGAGTAAGAAAACTGATAAGGTTGCCATGAGGAATAAATGAAGTTATTTCGAAGATCTCTTCAAATACCAAGGCCTATGCCAATGCTCAGTAATAGTAATAGTTTCATCACTGTCATAACATAAATATATAACAATGCTTTTAAGAAGAGAGAATTTTGAGTGTCAAATTAAATGCTGCCTCTGGAACCAGCTTGTTTGCACAAAGAATGATGCTTTGGTTATTTATGGAGCTACCAGATTCTCCTCCTTCCAAGAGAATTGGTATAACACATGTCTTTGCCTGCAGCCAGATGTGCCATATTCAGTCCAGCTCCCACCCCTTCCCCAGCCCTATTCCTAAGCAGAGGTCTTGACCATGACTTTACCTTGCTGCTTTTGCATGGTGGTGAAATCTTCAAAGGTGAGCGTGCGCACAGGAGGTCTCCAGAACGCATATGTCTCCATGATGGCTTCAAGTCCAGTTCTGGAGAAAGAAAAGCCAGCAAAGGAAGTTGTGAACAATCCCAAGAAATCCACTGACTTTTTAAAGATCCAGAGGTGGTTTGACTGACAAGTGGTATATTCATAGGCACTGAGAGATATCCCAATCAAAGTAAATTATTCTGGAAAAGCACAAGGTACAGATGTTGCTAGATTGCAGGAGGAAGAATAAATTAACCCAATTCAGATTATTTGCAAGCAAATCTATAACTATGATGGAATTTCACTCTGACCTTTCTTCAGAAGAGGCTTGGTCTGCATGAAGAAAAGCATGTTAAGTGTTAGAGGTCAAGGCCACTAATATCATGAGTACAGTTGAGCCGAGAGGAGCATTGACTGCTTCTCCAGCGTGGGACAAGGGCACCATCATTACCACAGTGCAGATGCAGCCCCTCCCAGAATCAACTCCACACCTCAGTTATGTGAAGAGTCAAAGAAACTGTCAAACTGCTGTGGCTTTAAAGGCTTCTTAAATCAACAAAGACAAGCAGGACAACAGAAATAAAAGGAGAGGCAAGAAATCAAACACACTTGAGTTTCTGTTGCAACAAGAAACACCCACCTGAAGGTACGGAAAGGGCTTGGTCCCAGAAAGTATACCTCAGGCAAAAAGACCAATACATTTCTCCAAATACTCATCTGTATTTTTATACCCTAATAACTAAGCTGGTCTTTGAGAGTTAGAAACTGTCAGACTTCAGGAAATACCCCATATCTTACAAATTGTTTAAGGCTTCTGGTTCACTGGTATTGGAAATTGCATAAGTTGGACAATGTGCACACTGCCCACTCTACCCTTCAATGAATTATGTCTCTACTGTGTATATGAAGTGCTGATATACATCACTTTCCCATAATTACCCAGGATATCTCAGACATATTCTTGCTGATATTCCATGTCCTCAAAACAGAGTATTGTTTGGTGCTTTGTTTAAAACTTTGAACACGGCTTCCGGTTGTTGACTTTTAAGACTAACTGCTTCACTTCTATCTAAGTGGAGGAAGCGAGAAGTGCAGGGCTACAGGGCTACAGGCAGGTGAGAGAACGAAAGTGGGAGGAACAGATGGCATAAGACCTTTCATTGCAAAGTTACTGGAAAAGTGCTGTGGAGTCTCTTCCTGGAACAGAAAAGCTTTCCCTTTTAAGATGAAACTTATACTGATTGTCCTTCTCCGTAGGTAATACATTTCCAGAGTTCTCTTCAGTCTTACATACCCAGAATAAGGTGAGAAGTTTTATTTTAAGTAAGAAAAAATATCCTCTCCTTATAAATGGCCATAGGATCCCCTGAGGTTCTTCTCAGATGTGCTGCTGATAACACCGATTGGCTCTTTGTGTTGGAAAATATCCTCTCTGAATAGGCCTTACTTGCGCAGTTCACTTTCTAAAGTCTTCCCTGGAATCTTGGAGGCTTTAAATATACCAATGTTGGCAAACCAAACTCTGTATTTTAAGAAGAGGTTCAGAGGAGAGAGTGTCGCATGGTGTTTATTAGCTGTTAATCTGTTAGAAGTAGGAATAGAAGACATCTCCACATAGTCACTCTACATTAATGCTGAATACAGTACATGAAACTATTTGTGGAGAGAAAGAGCCCAGGCAATTAGGGAGTTCAGAATAATAAGGGGATAGACAGATAAAGCCATGCTGAGCCCTGGTGGATAGAAGAAATAGATAGGCCAGGCTTAGATCTGACTGCTTTGTTCTGGAATGTTGGCCACCCACCAGAACATCCTCGGATTCCTTTAATGGCACAGGAGGCTCACTGCAAATGGCAAGGTCTTTATTGTTCCACCTCCTATTTCATTCTTCGCAGGAACATGTACCGATGAGGAGGACAAAATGTTAGCTCAAGGACAAAGAACGTCCCTTCTCATTTCATAATAAGATGCTAAAAGACTGTAAAGTTGCTATAATACACTAATATACTGCCAGTATTCTGTTTATTGAATAAACAGAAAATGAACTTTGGTTTCATTTTCATAACAGGCAAAAAGCCTGTGGCAAAGCTTTTTATTTAAGAAGCTAATTTTATATAGGATAGTGACCATTTATCCAAATCCAAAATCTAACTAAAAGACTAAGTTATAGAATCATAGTTTTGGGAAGACTCTTGGGTGTCACCTATTCTACCTCTTCTGATACCATCTTAGATGGTTATCCAGCCTCTGTTGTCATATTTCCCCAGAAAAATATTGAGTTTTTGTATAGATCTGTTAGAGTTCTTCCCGATGTTTGGCTGAAATCTCTGATGTAACTTTCACTCTCTGGTTCCATTACCAATAGCTAAATAGTGATAGTGTCAGACATTTCTCACAAGGAGTCCATCTGCCACATCCTCATCAGGGAGACCTTCCTTAGCTTAAGAATGTAATGCATGACACGCCACATATGGACGCACCCATGGTTCATGCAGGGGTTTGTCACAACAAGGGTCATTTTGGTGGTGGAGTTGGGGAAAATGGGTTATGACTCCAAAAAATAATAGCTAAGACCACACATTCCTAACCACGTTTCTAATGTGCTGTGGATCCATATCTCAGAAATATATTCTACATAGGATACAATATAAATTATCCTATGATCTATATAATCCTCTATAGGATAATATTACTGAATCTATTGATGTATTCAGAATATATCTCTTTTTAGAAAAGTTAGACCTATTTGTTTACTATATACCACATCTTGTATTTGTCCTCAAACTCTATTAAGATTCACTGTATAGGTCTAATTGTTAGAAAATATTAGTTCTATCGCTTCTCAGCCTTTTGGCTAAGATCAAGTATAAAAAGTATTAGTTCTATATATCAGGATTTTGTGTAGTGCCATAGTAAGATTATACAATTTACCTCTCTCCACCACTAGCATATATGTACCTCAAGGGCTTTGGAACCCATGTTTTTCTATGCTCCAGTGCCTAGCACAGAGCCTGTGAGATCTCAATTGACACGCACTGAATTAATAAGTAGAGGAATGAATGTTTTATTACTGAGTCATTATTTTATAAAATTTGCCCAACATTCATTTTTATAAGCCTAAAACTTAGGAAAACAACTTAGTGTCAAATAAAGTCTGTGAAGACAGAAGAAATCCTCCAGTTTTGGAGTTTTGGAAATTGTTTCTATAGCTTATTGTGATAGTGCCTTTATTGATTTCAGCCTCAAGGAGGTATCAATTTTCCTTTGGTTTCTTCTGTTCCAGCTGTGGAATTTCTGACCTTCAACAGTCTAAGTCCCCTAGCGCAGGCCAGTCATTTCTACCCCTCACCTTCTCTTATACGAGTTCTTGCCAACTACCCAACAACATCTTCAGCCACTTGGATGTCTATTCAAAGTTTATCCTGTCCTACACATTATTTATTCATCATCATGTACCCTAGTTTTGCAAAATTTTATCTCCAGGTTTTTAAAAGTGAATTCATTGTCTAAAAGATGAAAAAAATGGTCTTAGGTAACCGCATGTCATTAACGTGTTCCACATGGTGGGCCTCTCTGGATCTGCTGCACACCAGAGACCTGACATCATCTCTGAGGTTTCCAATCAGTGATGATCAAATTGGCAAGTGTCCTCCTCTAGCTTGCTTTTCCCTGTTAGCTCCAGTGACAACAGAGGTTATATCCAAACCCCCATTTGTTTAGTCCTGTGGCTGTTATCACTTCTCTGATTTCCAGGCCTCTTCTCTTTAGACTTTTCAGTCTGCTCACTGGCCAAACCAACAGAATGTGCTTAAGTGGAGGGAAAAGAGGAAGGAGAGGAAGAAAGTCAAAGAGCAATTTTGCAAACTGATGATGCCTTGAGATCAACTGATTTGGAAAAACAGCCAGACTATAAAGAAATATCCTTCCAATCTTCGCATTCAAAAAATAAAAAAAAAGGCAGGATCATTCCTTGGAAGCTCAGCATATATTTGGTCATTACTACAACAATTATAAAAACATCCATAACCCTATTAGGTAGTACACTATTGTGTAGTTTGTTCTTTTCATTTGTCTTGAGATAGGAAGTTGATTTTTATGTCTCTTTATTTTTCTTTTTAGTTTTGACATTTTAATTTTGACCCTTCCCCATTCTATTTGCTAACAAAAGGAACATACAGTATGGTTGATAAGGCCATTCACTGGTCATCTCTCAGACATCCATAACCCTATTAGGTAGTACACTATTGTGTAGTTTGTTCTTTTCATTTGTCTTGAGTTAGGAAGTTGATTTTTATGTCTCTTTATTTTTCTTTTTAGTTTTGACATTTTAATTTTGACCCTTCCCCATTCTATTTGCTGGTAATACTGGTAACAAAAGGAACATACAGTATGGTTGATAAGGCCATTCACTGGTCATCTCTCAGTAGAAGACAGTCAAGGGATAAGGGAAACCTACTGAGATAGGAGTGTTGAAGTCATAAAAGAGTTATCCAATCAGGAAAAAAAATTATGTACTAAGTTCAGAAGATATAAAGGCAAAAAAGACACAGTGTCCTGTGTTCAAAAAAGAGGGAACAACATGTAGATGACTAGTTTCTGAATTATGCGATAAATGCTACACTGAAGTTTCCACAAAAGGTTAATTAGTTAAGCTTAACATTAAAGGGTAATCAGCAGTTTTTCATGCAGTCAAGAGGAAGAAAGGGCTTTCTTAGTAGAGTTAACATTAGGTGGAAAGTCTTGGAGGTACGGAAGAAAAGGCATGTTCTGGGAACTGAAAATAGTTCAAGGTGGCTGGAGCTTGGGTGCAAGAAGGGGAACAGACACCAGGGACTTTTATTCCATGTTGGATGCTTAGATTTATCCCATGGGTGATGCTGTGTCCCTGATCTTTCCTTTCTCTTCCTCTTCCAATATTTGGAGACACAGAACCAGAACATACTGCTCTTTCAGATCTAATTAACACATCTCAACATTCGTAGACTGCCCTTACTCCATTGAGGTAAGGTCAAACCTTCTCCACTCCCTTCTCGGTCACTGGATCTGAAATTGGATTATTCA